GCTTCCAGGAAGTGCTAGTGGAACAGACAATCTGCCTGCAAAAATGCCGAGACTGATTTATCGCCTATGCGCAGAGGCCCCTGTGGTTGTTCGGGCTGGGTCAGCAAACAAGGCCTGACCCGCTACGATGGGGCCTGACCTGAAGAGACCCTGCTCAATAGATTGGGTGTCTTTTAGGTACATGTAGTAGTTGATGAAGACGTTCCGCGTTCTCCAGAAGCCTGCCCTCAGAATGTGTTTGAGGGGGCACCTGACGCTAGCGCTAGTGAGTTAGCAATCGCACAGACCTCATGTTCTCGTACTTGGTGTCTCTGCAAGGTCTGTGTTGAGGAGGATAGTGTATTATAGACCTCCAGTACAGTCGCAGTAATCCACCTGGAGATGGAAGTCGGGGAAGCCGGCTTATCCTGTTTGCCAGGGCCGTAACACAAAAACATGTGTTTGGTTCCCCGTCTAGAAAACCTGGTACGGTTCTCGTGGCAACTCAGCGCTCGGACCGGGCAGAGAAGCAATTCCTCCTGATCCTCCGGACTGACAATATTTGCCAGCCGGGGGATGACGATCGGTTGAGGATCGTGTCCTGGGATTTGGTTCTTGGCGAGAAATCTGATTCGTGTCTTTAGTACAACTTGATCGTCCATAAAAGTGGCACAACAGGACAGTGCGCGCCTAGCTCTGATCGGCGCCTACCTGAGGCAAGGGCCAGTAGGAAGACTATTTTCCACATCAAAAATTTGAGTGGTGCTGATTGGAGAGCCTCAAAGGGCGGTCTGCTTAGAGAAGACAACACAGCCGACGAGTCCCAGTTGGACGGCTCCCTTGTATGGGGTCTTGGCGTCTGGAAAGCAGTAAATAGTCTCCCAATAATAGGACAATCGGCTAGTCTTGTTCCCGTACGTTCTGAGTGGTGGGGGACAAGACCGACCTGTAGCCAACGCTCGCTGTGTAGAACAAACCCACTTCGTCAAACAGGTGGACGAAGGAGCCTGCTACCTGGCCAATAGAGGGATGGTATGGATCAATCTCCCTTCCGCTACACCAATCAGTGTATGCTTGCGGCCTAGAAATGTAGGCCGCGTAGGTGGAATCCCTGTTTGCCCTGGCCAGGACGTTGGCAGCCTGCTCAGATAAGGCTTTCGTATGTGCGGGTCTACTGAGAGCCTCTATGTGTGCAAGTGATACCTGCTGGGCTCGTTGGTAGTGCGCCGTCTGGTTGGGACGGAAGGTCCGGTAAGTCCGGAAGCACTGCTGACGCTTCGACTAGCATTTCCAACAGAAGTGGAAACTAGGCTTTGCTTGGCCAATTGGGTGCAACCCATGATAATATGCGGGTGTGCCCCTGTCGAAGTTTTCTCCGGTGCCCGGTGAACTAGCGGGAAGGGAGGAAAGGCGTACACAACAACCTTGGACCGTCCCACGGCCGAAACAGCCTAGAGGCTACCCACTGGGGTATCAGCTACTCCGTGTTCTGGAGACAGAGCCGCCCTGAAAGGGCGTCGCCAGATAGTGGACTTGCTAAGACCCCAAAATGATAAAAAACCTGCACTTTTTAGTACAAACATCCCACTTGGCGTTAAGGTAGTCTATGACCATATGAAACATTTAAGATATGGACACAAGCTGTGGTGACCTTCTTTTAACCCTCATTTACATAAATTCAAGATGGCCGCCACGAGCAAATAGTATCTTGATGTATTTTTCCATATCTCTGGTTCTAGTCAGGATATTTGTAATATGTAAGGTTCTTAATGTGTGTTTTTGATGACAGATTATCTGATAAGAAAGTAACTTGGGTGCTACGAGATCAATTTATGTCCCTACAGCGTCGTTCAAAGATAATTTTATCAAGTTTTTGGCAAAATTTACAAATGACCTAACAACTCTCAATATAAATATGGAAAACTTAGTTTTAAAATTTATGTTAAACATGTTGAGCTGTTAAACATCTGTTACCATGGAGATGTAGTTTGACGGTTTTATGTTGCAGATTAAATATCGTAATCATTATTTGGTTATATTGTGAGCCTTTGAAGAAATATCGTATTAATGTATGGATTAAATATTTGGTCATCACACAAGTAGTTTGAAACCCGCATTTTCAGTTGATTTATGTAAATACTATTTCTATTCTTATGTTATTCAGCAATGAAACATGGATGTAGAAGTAGATAGCATCTAGAGACACCAGGATTTGGCAGCTTTGTTTCATCTGTCAATCTGCCACTTTAAGCCTTCTCTTAACAAACGTGTGTCAGTGAATACTAGCCCAGTTGAACTCGAAGAGTAAGTAAGGGTAACATTTTCACAGGTTGGTGATATTTGTCCCCCAAAGAAGACTCACCCGAAGAGAGAAGACTATGCCTGCTCTGTGAAAAGGCTGGTGGAAAAAAGTTAAGGAAGGCTGCCACATTCGAACTTGGCACCAAAGTTAGAAAATGTGCTGTGATTATTGGTGACAAGGCACTTATTGGGAAGCTCACCTCAGGGAACATGGTGGCCATAGATGCGGTGTACAATCTGTCATGTCTTACTAAGCTTTACAGAGATGCTGCAATAATTTAATCTACAAAGGATGATGATGACCAGCAAACTAAATTCCGAAAGCACAAGCGTTTTCCGACTTGGTGTACTGTTTTCAAGATGGCAGCTCTTGTTAATCTGTATTCTTCTGCCTAGTCTCCCTTGGCTTGAATGATTATGTTCACACATCTCGTCTTCGCCACATAGTGGTAATTGCAGTTCCAGATCTTATTAAAGTCAAATGTTCGTCAAG